ACTGCAGGCTCTGTGTAGGCAAGAAAGAACTATAACCCGAGTACCTAGCACAGGCCTTATCACGTCATAGGTGCTCAATAAATACTTGTCAACTGGACATATGACTGAATCAGTGTTGGCTGTTGACACGGCTGTCTCCCTAGCTTGCATGTGAATTCCTGAAGGCCAAGAATGGCATCCAATTTCCCTCCATAGCCTCCAGCTAGCTCACTTGCCACATGGGGTTCTTGGTAGATATTTGATAAATATTTGTTGAAATTAAATAAATTGAATTTTGTGGGCTGCCTTGGGACTGAGTCCTTAATTTATGACATTGTTTCTATGGGAAAATGCATTCTGAGTGCCAAACAAACTTGCAAATGAACTTTTGGAACCTCACTTGTTCATTGGTTCAGGATTGCCAGTTTTGTGGAAACCCGTAACTGAACACATGTGCTATGCTTTGCAATATGGGAGAAACTGAGAAACTGCTTCCAAACCCCAGATACTCAGCCTGCAAAAATTCACTTTCCGCCCACACACACAAATTCAGCGCAGGTTGGATTTGAGGTTCCAACAATAAAATACTAGACTTTTTAGAGCTCATTGTTTATCTAATTGCTTTTTATCTGCTTACACTGGATGCCTATTCTTAACACCCGATCAAAAGGAAGTTAAGATAGTTTCCTTGCCCACCCCCCGCTCTCAACAAATCCATTTTCTAGACACATATGCAAGAAAGCTCAACCTTCTCAAAAGAGAAAATAAATTATTTTTCTAAATAAATCTGTGACATTTAAAATAAACACAGTGGGATGCTCTACAGTTATAAGAAAACATCCCCCTTTAGAATTCCTAATTTTGAATGGTACTGGGAACTCAATATGAGTCACAGATCTGAGGCTTAGTTTTATTTCGTCTTAGGCCAGAATGAAGCCAGTCTGAAACTGAGTGATCTGATGTGGCTGGGAAGGACCATCAGTCTAGAACGTTCTATATTACTTAATGCGTAAGTCTCAACCTGCCACTGAGAGGGCTCCTCAATCACGCAATCTACTTCATTCACAGGGTGCGTGGGTGGCTCAGTTGGTTAAGCATCCGACTTTAGCTCAGGTCATGATCTCATGGTTTGCGAGTTCAAGCCCTGCATCAGGCTCTGGGCTGACAGCTCAGAGCCTGGATGGAGCCTGCTTTGGATTCTGTGTCTCCCTCCTTCTGCCCCTCCCCTGTTCATGCTCTGTCTGTCTCTCTTTCAAAAATAAGCAACCATTAAAAAACTTTTAAAAATCGACTTCGTTCACTTAACATATATTTTTTGAGCACCTACGATGTGTCGGGCACTGTTCTAGACTCTGGGGATATGGTAGTGAACAAGACAGACAAGGTACCTATGTTCATGGAACCCACATTTTAAAAAGAAAAGCAGAGACATAAGATCATTTCAGACACTGATGGGGCCATGATGAAAATAAAACAGGTGATTATGAGTGAGGTGAGGCCACTTCCAACTGGATGATCAGGAAGGAGCCAGCCATGGAAAGATCCGGGGAAAAATATTCGAGACTGAGGAAACAACGAGGGCAAAAGTACCAGAGGTGGGAACATGCCGACATATTCCTAAGTCAGAAAGAAAGCGCGGTGGGGTAGAGTGAACCGAGGAGAGAGAGGCATGAGAACCATGGAAGGGTCAGATGATGTATGCAGGTCCTGGCAGTAAGACAGTCAGACTGGCTTCTAAGAGAGAAAGGCTGTGCAGGTTTTAACCTGGGGAATGACATGATCTGGTTTAGACCATAAAAGCATCATTCCTCTAGGAGGGTATTAGGACAGGGGTGAGGGAGTAAGAGGAGAACCAGGGAAGCAGGTAGTAGTAGCCTTACAGAAGACAAGCGCTCTTTGCCCGTCATCAATACATGCCCCGGTGTCTTCAACCTCTTCTCTGATCTTCCCTTTTACCTTCTTGTGCTCACTGAAACCAGCCTCTCCCCTGGGGACACAGCTTCCTCGAAGCCAGCTCAGGGGCTGGCTGCTTCCTCTTACTCATCCTAAACGTCCTGCTTGTGTCTCACTGCCTTTTCTGGATGCCTCTTCCTTCCTCCTCCTTTCCAAGCGTGCCCCCCGCCCAGTGCGCCCCACCACCGCAAAGCCCTCCTTGTTGCAACCATCTATAGACCACCGCCACCCCTGCCAATTCTTTCCTCTTCTGCACTATCTTGCTTCTCACCGTCTCCAACCCTGTTCCCACGGTCCGACTGCAATATCCACACAGATGACTGACGTTAACACTCCCGTTCCTAACACTACCTCCGTTCCTTGACCCCTCTCTGCCCGCAGTCTTTTTCCCATCCTACTTCAGGTACACTGTCATAATCAATAGCGCCACCACCCCTCCATGACTCTCCCACAGTCCAACTACCATTTCCCAGCCCCAGTGAGTCTTAAATCCAATCACAACCTCCCATGCACAGATCCTGCCGCCTATTCCCATCCCTCACTCCCCGGCTCGGCGTGTACTTCCAGCTGACAGCCCAGGGCCCCCTATGTTAAGTACCAACATCCATGTCAAGACCATCATCCGGCGCTCGGATACCCCCTCGGTTCCCAGGCCCCGCCCTCCCCTCTTGACGTATTTCCTGCAAAGCCCTACCTTGCTAAATCTAGCCCTCCCCGACTCTGCGACCACACCAGCAGGGCTGAACACAACCCTGCTGACTGCTCTCGCTTCAAAAGCAAGACCACTGGCTTCAGCTGGGCCCTCCTGCTGCCCAGCGATCATCCTAAGTTCCCATCTCCGTTCTCGATCTCCTACCTTCTCTCTCTTCGCCTTCCAAACCTCCAGCGCTTCCTCCCCCGCCTCACTCTCACGGGCCTGAAGCCCCCGAAAATGACGTGAGCGATACAAACTGAGGCTGAACACGCTTGCACCACCCACCTGCTCCCGGGCCCAATGTTCTTCACCTGCTCTTCCATCCCGAGACCACCCGTCCACCTCCCGTCTGAACTTGCCTCCCCACCAGTGTGCTACATCTTATTTTCTCTCATCTGCCGAGAGACAGCACGGTGCAAACCCCTCTTCTTTCTCTCTCTCTCTTTTATTGTCTTACTAAAACTTCCCCAACAGCCCCATAGCGCAGGGTTATTTTCACGCGCCTCAAAAACAACCAAATTCTCTGCACTTTACTTTCTCCTCTAGCGTCTGCTTCCTTTTTCTGCCGTTTTCCTCGGCAAAGCTCCTCTGGAGACTGGTCTCTGCTCTGCTCCCTCATCATTTTCTCCTGCAGCTTTATCGCTTGCCACACTGCCCTTGTCATGGTCACCGGTCATCACCTGCTGAGTCTAGTGGGTCAGCGCACTTCCCTTGCCCAACCCCTCTGCAGCATCTGGCACAGGGGACTTCTCCCCTCTTTCTTCCCTTGGCATCCAGGAGACCACCTTCTTCGCTCTTTCCTCTTCCCTTTCTGGCTGTTCCCTCCCCATTTTTGTTTCCCCTTTGCCTCCCTGGCCCTTCAACACGGCACCGCCTCAGTGCTCGGTTCCCCAACTGCTTCCCCCCTCAATCTACACAGCCTCCCTCGTCTGGTCTTGTAAGCTCCCTCCAGACACGTCTAACTCCCAAATTCATCTCTCCAGCCTGGACACATCGCCCGTGAACTCCAGACCTGTGTTTGCCATATAGCAGCCACGAGGTCCTCGCGGCTAGTTCATCACTGCCACCGCCACTGAATTAACGCCTGGGGGCAGCCCTACAAATATAGGTGGGAAACGCACATAGACGAAACAGGTCGGAAAGAGTACGGGGGAACCGCTCAGTGGGTGTGTGACAATGAAATGCTGTTGATGATCAGTTAATTTCTTAAACTCTAGACTTGGGCAAGCGACGGGAAGAAAACGTTCCTACCCAATTACAATTATTCATGAGAATTTTCCTGGCCCCGCTTCCTTTGTCTGCCAGGGATTCTGACAGAAACAGCCCCGTGAGGAAGCGCTGCAAAAGGCAAGGGCAATTATGCGTCTTGCTGCATCTCAGCTTTTGACTTCCTCCATGAACTCTTAATTAATTCCATCCCCACATTTTTAGTTTGTTTCCTGAACCTCTCGCTTATGTTGTAGCCTCGCCCTCTCCCTTCGTTGCCCTGGGCTTCCTTCCCCAGATTCTCTTCCCCGTCCCCTCTGCTTTCCCCAAACTGCCCCTTGTTCAGCCTTCAGCTTCTCTGCACCTGTTCCACTCCTCCTGATCCCTTTTGACCCTTAAAAACGGAAAGCACCAAACTGACGGCCACCGTTATGGTTTTTTTTTTTTTCCCCCTGCCTGAGCTCCAGCTCCGCCACTCTCCTCCTTGCTTCTGTAGCGGGAGCCCGAGTACTGGGTTGCCATGGCAACAGCGAATCCAACCAGGCCGGTCCCAGCCACGCTGGGAGCTGCCATGGCGAGGGAGCCGCTTACAAGTCGCCCCAGAGCCTGGATGGGTCGTGAACATCGTAATTCAAGACCAGGCTGGGCACATTCTGCCTGGAGACTGAGATTGTACAGCAGGCCCACAGCTGTACCGCGCATTAGGAGACAACATCATCAATAATAAGGCTTCTACCGAGCCATCCGAGTACGTGACATTACGAGGATTCGGTGGGAAATTTTCAAACATCCCTATTCTTTTATCTCCTCTGAGGGGAGACCTTTTGCCTCTCTCTCTCTGGAGTCTTGGAGAACTCTGTAGAAAGTACAAGCAGAATCGGCAGCTCCAGGCTATCCTTCCTGGTGTCCTGTCCCCACCCCGCTCCCACCCCCAGGTCGGGTAACCCGGAGTGGTCCGGGTCAAATGATCCCGCCGCACTGGCCCAGCTGGGAACATCTCCGAGAATTAATGAGGATCACGCACTGATATTTCAGGCGGCGAAGAGATCGGCTCCCCCAGGTCATTGGCACGGATCGTCAAAGTAGGGCAACAAGTGTTCTGCTGCATGACACTTTTTTTTTTTTTCTCTCGAAAATGTGAGCTGGTGAGAAAGAATTCAGGAAATACCTTTGCAGAGAATGGCACCAACCGCAGTGAGGGTCTGTTGCTGTTAAACACTCCGTACAGGATTTATGTTTACTGCAATTTGCAACACGAATTCTCCTCACCTAGAAACGAAGATGACAGCAGCTCAGACGGAATTCTAAGCACCGCCACAAAAACAACAACACCTCATCTGATAACGGGCCACAAAGAGAGCACATTTGTCAACTTGAACTCGGAATGCCTCTGTAAGGACGTTGGGCAGTGGTTCTCAAGTTCCGGGGTACGAATCCCCTGGGGAGGTTTGGAAAGTGCAGGTTCCCAGATGGCCTGCCGTCCCTGCTCTGGAGACTCGGGCTGGGCAGGTCAGGGACCGGGCCTCGGAATCTGTATTCTTAAGTGCTCTCTCAGGTGGGTCTGATCCGCTAATAATGACTTCCCAAGGGATCATGGAATCAGGTCACTTGGCCTTCACACAAAGAGAGTTAAATGCGTGGTCAGTGGCACTCTGGAAATGAGCATCTGGGGACGTAAAGGCTCACGCTGACCCAGGCGTGTCAGCACGAGGCTGACGCTGGACACGGAAATGAGGAGAATCCCACACCCCTGTCAGGGTAACTCCATTGCTTCAGCTCCTGGCTTATTTGCTCACCTTCCCTCCACTGGAGTTGGGCATAAAAGAAACGGGGGGAGTATTCAAATCATTGCCTGCCCCTCAAGCTGCCTCTTCCAGTTGCTGAAAGACACGGGGGCAGACCACCAGCCTGAGCCAGAATCAACCAGAATGTGGAGATTTCCCTGTAGTTCACAAAACATCTTTTTAATTCTGGGGGGGGGGTTTGCATAAATATCACGTAGTCTCTCTAACCTTGTTTTCTCAACTCTGAAACAGTGACCGTACTGCGGACTCCACAGGGTTATTTCACTGTCTGGCAGATACTAAGCGCTCGATAAATGTTGGCTACAGCTATTGTGTGAGGCAAAGGTTCCACAGCCCTACAAACATGTGAGACCTTACACTTAAAAGGCAAACAGATTTCCTTACTACGAGGCTTCCGAGAGCCTTTGAATATGCTGAGCATGATGATACTCCAGGCGGGGTAGACTACATAACATCTCCTCCTAGGGCCACACTGGCTCAGAACACTTAGTGGGATAGGAGTCTCTAGAACTTTCCATGAGAACCATTACGCGTCGTACTTAAACACACAAACAACATCTCTCTCTGTAAAAGCGAGAACACAATTAGTACTACATTGGACCTGCTTCCCTAACTTAGTAACACAAGATAGTGACTATTCCACAGCGATGCATAAATCTTCATATGGTTATTTTTAGTGGCCACGTATTCCATGGATGTACCAGGGTGTATTCGTTTGGCTGTTACTATCCCCCCAAGAGTCTAGGAAAGGATCCTCCTTAGGTTTTTGCCTGTCTAGGGGTTATGCTGGCTCAACGAGAATCTTACTAATAGGATCCCCAGCAGGAAACCTAGGTGAAGAATGTAAGAATAACCAGCTTTGATGCCCAGTCAAAAACCCTCCCTAGGGCTTCAGGCTTTGAATGACCAGAGGCTAGAACTCTTTATCTTCCAGGAAGTGAGGACCTGTCAGCTATTCGTGGCTCTCCAGTGGTTCCCAGCTTACAGTCTTGAGTTTGGAGGAAAGTGCTAACGAGAATTTACGAGCCATTTTGCAATGTTTCAAAAAGCTGAATGGAGAAACATGCACAGATTAAGCAAGACTTCAAGTGTCTTTGCTTTGGGCTGGAATTTTATCAGCTCTGTGTGGCAGCACAGCGCGTTCTCCGGCTGGCAGTTTTCAGATGCCCTTGATAAATAAAGCCTGGGAATGGGAATAGTTACTTAATATATGCAGTTTGTTGAGTAGACAAAAATCTCGCGAATACGGGAAGCCCAGGGAAGAAAGAGAATAAAGTGTTTTAACGGGGACACAAGCTGCTCAGGAAGATTCTGCATGGTGAACAACTGGTCTACCAACGTCAGGCAGGTCCACGGTTCATCTCAATGAGATCATTTTGACATAACGACTCTTCCACGTGCAAAGGGCAATTCTGGGAATTCTGGAAACAACAATGTGCTTGTGTGCCTACTGTGTGACCGCAACAGCACATGTGGCTTGCTGTCATCACCGTTCCCCTTAGAACGAGAGATAAAAAGAATGGAAAATGGGATTGGACCAAAGGCATCTGTTATTCCATTAGGTAATTCCACAAGTCTGAATTCTCTTCTTCACACTTTGCCCCAATGGCCATGGGTCCGAATTACTGTGCCAGAATGGGCTGCTTAGTTTTCACAAGTTTGGGATTCGATCTCATTTATCACGGGCTTTGATGTCAGGACAGAATTGATGTCCCAGTCTGGACAAGGCCTAACCTACATATATATAAAATAGAATGAACCTAAGATATCAAGGAGATAGATCTCCTTGACTGAATCATTTAACCTTTCTAAGTCTTAGGCTCTTGATATACAAAGCAAGGGTAATTTTATCTCATTAAATTGGTAGCATATTTCATCAACATTGTTTTTATAGCTGTGCGTACAGACACAACTCTGCATCTAAGAGAGACGAAACCAGTACGTGGTCAGTAGGGACGCAATAAAGCTTAGCTTTCTTTCCTTTGTGGAAGTACTTTATAAAAATGAAGAAACTATAAAAAGCTATTATTTTTATTTGAGTCAGCAGAAGCAAGAAGAAAAACTAAAACAGCCAGATAAATTAAGAGAGGGAGGGTGAGTGCCATATATTTCCTGGTTCATGAATGTGCATGAGACTGTGGCCTGATATTAACCCCCAATTCCAAAGCCAGTCCCATTGGGTATATTCATAAATGCATCTAACCGTTCAGTGCCCACACAATAAATGTGCAAATTCAGTTACCTTGCTGATTATGCACCCATTTGCAAGCACACCCTCCTCTGAAAAGCCTCGCATTGGAAATATAGCCAATAATAAAATTGTCTAAATAGGTAATATTTCTTGCTTACTTACTGACAGGAAGGTTTTTTAATTCCATGTCTGTGAACCACTGAAGGCCTTCTCGAAGCCTGCAGCAGTGTTTAAACTTGATAGTTCAAAGTAAAAGCTTCACTACTAGATGATGACGTTAATTAAACAATTTTTTATTCGTAAGTCAGAAGCTGTACCCAGTATTTTCGCCTACCTCTTTCCCAGCTGTTAGATAGATGTAGATATTCTTCTTGGGATGAGGAACCAGTTTGTAGAAAACAGGTGTTTCTTCTTTAATTTCATAGATAACCTCCGGGCAATTTGAAGTCAAATTCTCACCAAGAATAACCTATTTTTTTTTTTTCAAAAAGAGAAATAAGATTTCTATTAAATACTTCGAATAGCGGGGTGGCAAGAGTTGCAGCTTAATTCTAAGACCACATGCTCTTTTCCTCACTACATATACTGGCTGAGGTACCATGTTCTTTAATCATCCTTTTGTGTCTCAGTCTTCCACGAGGCTGGGAAGAACAAGCATGGTCACGCATGTGAATGCGCACGCGCACAGAAGCCACCCTTCGGTGCTGGGGCAGTATCCTCACGTGTGGACGCTCCAAGCCCGCAATTCCCTATCACATCTGGCTCTACCAGAAGCTACAGGTGACAGCTTCGTCAGTACTAAGCCAAGTGATCGTAAAACTAAAGGAAGCCGGCTTGACGTATATTTGCATGTGTTACTCTGACTCTCCTATATGATTCTACGCAGTCACACATTTTAAAGTAACCAGGACAACTTAACAGGCCCAAACAGCAGGTATGTGTTTATGTATAAAACGTAAGCGTGGACTTGAAATTGGGCCTACATGAGTTTCATGCACTTCAGTCGATAAATATCTACGTACCTGGCATGTTCTAGGTGTTTGGAAAACGGCTGCGAACAAATGAGTGGGGGGGTGGAGGGAGAAACCTACCTTCATATACCGTGTGTGTGTGTGTGTGTGTGTGTGTGTAGGAGTAGTGGCAGACAATTAACAAAAATTAGAAACCCTATTAGAAGGTGATGTAAGTCAAAATAAAGTGGGGTAGGGACATCAGGATGCGTGCTCAGGGTAAGTCTCACTGAGAGGTGGCATTTAGTGAGACACTTGCAGGAGACGATGGAGCGGGCCATTTAGATGCCTGGGTGACTCGTGCTCTTGCAAGAGCCACTCACTGGTACCGAGGCCCTAAAACCTGAGGTGGCCAGTGTGGCTCGAGCAGAACCAGTGAGGCAGAGAGCAGTGAGGTAACAAGTGTGCAACGTAGGTGATTGTAGGCGTGTATAGAAATCTCACTCTTGCTCCGGGTGAGAGAGAGGGAGCCGCTGCAGGGTTTGAGCAGAGAGGTGACATGGTAAGGGGGCAGGTTGGAAGCAGGGGCCTGAAGCTGTATCACAGACCATCACCATAGCCCTGGAGAAACAGAATGGTCGCTTGAGCCCAGGTGCGTCTCTTGACTCTTTCCGCTGAGTAAGCTGTGCTAACTTTGGCCTAGTACCTTAACCTTCCCCAACTTCCTTGTCTCTAAAACGGGGCTAATAATGCCTTTCCTATATACAACTATTTAGGATCAAAGGAGAGTTATAAAAGGTGCGTAGCACATAATAAATACACAATAGATAATAATGTTGCTAGATGGTAAGCTCCTTTTGAGTAGAGACCGTATCTTAATGATCTTTATACCTATCCCCTTGCCCGATACTTTTAAAATCGAAGGTATTCAATATTTTGTCAGTTTGAATACATCCATACGTAAAATCTACATTTGTGTCTCTACTGCTGAGGACGGCAGTTACATTGGGCACATGGTTTTAAAAGAAACGTTGGCCCTTGAGATTCTTTTCAGACAAAGTCTACATTCACACATCTACTAAGCCATATGAAGCCTGTACCACATATCCTGATGGCAAATACATATTTACTATTTTATCAAAGAGTCCTTATCATTTTGGCACAGGCAGCATCTTCCTACATGAGTCCCTGCTCCCAGCCTGAGTATGGGTTTGTCTTGTGGTCGTGACTTTCTTCCATCATCTGCTCTGGGTTAAGTCCAGGTAGATTTGGTACAACTAGTAACTCACTAGGGGCCCGTGAACTGCCACTGAATTCAGGAGCAGCTCTTAAAAGTCAATTGCAGTAACTAAAATACGACTTTTTAAAAAGGAATAGAAGCATTTAGGTCCCAGTAGAGGTGGAAAAGGTCTGTGCCTCAAGTCATTTAAAAGTACCTATAGAGGCACCTGGGTGGCTCAGTTGGTTGAGCGTCTGACTTTGGCTCAGGTCATGATCTCGCGGTTCATGAGTTCAAGCCCATGTCAGGCTCTGTGCGGACAGCTGTGAGCCTGGAGCTGCTTCAGATTCTGTGTCTCCCTCTCTCTCTCTCTCTCTCTCTCTGCCCCTCCCCCACTCGTGCACGCATGCTCTCTCTCTTCTCTCTCAAAATAAACATTAAAAAAATGTTTTTAATAAAAAAAAGTGACTATAGCTGCACCATCCAGTATGGTAGCCAGCAGTCACCTGTGGCTATTTAAATTTAAAATGTAGTACTTCCGTTATACTAGCTGCATTTCAAGTGCTCATTAGCCACATATGGCTAGTGACTACCATACTGAAAGTACAGATATAGAACATTACCATCATCACGGAAAGTTCTACTGGACAACACTGGCCTACTGAAAACTACAAATGAAGAGAAACAGCAGGCTGGCACCACCCAAGCGTGGACTTGCCAGATTCTTGTCTTCCCATCTCTAATTCACGTTCCTTATTAATCAACTGAGATTCAGGTGATCTGGTTCTAGAAAAGAGGTCATAGAGGAGAGAGGAAACAGGAAGCCAGTTAAAAAATGCTTGATAAAAATGTTCTCAAGTGACGCTCAAGAGAAGACAGGCCGCTGTCCAGAAGAATTCATCATGTTAAAGGCCTCCCTGGGCAGAACCACCTATGAAGCATTCTTGCCAACAAAACCGAACCTGAACCTCATTGAGCCTTTAGTGCGACCTTTCATTTAACACTGGGAAGCAGAAAGAGGAGGAGGCAGCAAGAAAACAGCCAAATCCACAATATGAGACATTCGACAACAGACTTCATTTCCTCCATCAGTCAGCGGCAGTGATGGGAGTTGGCCACACCAGATTGAGAGAGGCAGGACGACCATGTCTGACTTGAGGACCTTGCGTAGATACCAATTTGAACAAAAGTCATTTTCTTTTCTTTTTTTCTTTTCGATATATGAAGTTTATTGTCGAATTGGTCTCCATACAACACCCAGTGCTCATGCCAACAGGTGCCCTCTTCAA